TGCCCCGTTTGGGGGCTAATAGCTTCCAAGTGCCTCCATAACCTCAAAGTAATAAGTTTATATTTATTTAGTATATATGGAGAGGTTTAAAAAGTAACAGTTACTTTGTTCATTTTTCAAATAGGATAATTGCATTAAAATAACTACCTCCTACTTAGTCCAGTTACAAGTATCATTTTCCTTTTCCAATCTCAGCAGAAAAGAAGAAAGGTCATCCAGAAGACAGCAGTAGTTCATTCTGCATCTTGTCTCTCAGAATCAGTGTTATTATATCAGAGATCTCAAACACCCAGGTGTCTGCATCAGGAAAAGTTCCTATTAAACTAAAAAAAACCAAAGATAAACTTACCCTTTCCAAACAGCGGGACTGCACAGGGCTAACATCACATGGTAGTGGCCAAGGCCTTCTATTAGTACCACTTACTGCAGATCCAGGTGAGATCACTTGAAGTAGGGAGCAAAGGTAATTTTCTGCCACTTATCAGCCTCCTGATCTTAGCAGCAATTGGGGCTGAATAGAAGAGAAGAGTGAAAGTTGCTCTAATGTGCATGGGGTGTGATTATTCCTCTGCCATCTGCAGAGAAATCCTCCTCGCCCCTTCAGGGCTCCTTTCCTTTCTGTGCAGCTCAAGGGGAGCAGTCAAGGCTTAAAGAGCTGACCTTGAGTCTCGCCCTTGTATTTTTTCTGGTATTTGCAGTGGTAAATCAACACAAAACCTTTTAACAACAATGCTAATTTCTTGTCTTCTTTGGCAGTGTAACACTTCAGTGCATTCCAGAAAACTCTGCATATTTCCTATACCCGTACCATCCATTTTCTTGTCACCGACTTGCGTGGCTGCTGTGAAGGGTTTGGCTGTACACGGGCTGTTAGTGTCAGCAGCTGTCATGCAGCAAAAGCTACCTTTGACTCCTTTATTACAAGTCCTCTGCATGTCTGGAGGCAGGCTGAGAAGGTTCCAAATCTGTGGTGTGCTCTTTGCTTGTACATATAGAAATATATCTTATTATTCTGCACCACCAAGTGGCCAGGCTGAGCAAATATTGCAAGATCCTTTTTGATCCAGGCTGACTACCTCAACCCTGACGGGTTTTGTTATGTTGTGGAAGTTCATACCGGCCCAAACCAGCAGCTAGGAAAAAAAACATTTGAGTAGAAAGCCTCACATTTTGAAAGAAAGAAGTGTCACATTGTCTCTGGCATCCCCTAAGGTGTATTGTCAAGACTACTTCAGTTCTCATGGCAAAGAGAGTTTTTTGGTGGGCTGCACACCTGAAACTCAGGTGTGTTTTAAGTATTTCAAAGTAGTAATTCAAAATTGGCAGACGGTTCTGTAAATATGAGGTCAATATTTCTGAATATCACCTGAAATGATTGTGTCAGAAGTAGGAAGAGAACGGATGTATGTTTGTTCTTTACCATTAGAGTTTAATCCCAGTATCTTTAAAAACTGTAAATATAAAAAACATGGCATTTCATCTAGAAAAATGCATTACACGGTCTAAATGGGAGCTATTTTCCCATTCTTTTGTACCTTACGTTTCTTGTGCTCGGGAAGGTTTGAAGTTGAACTCTTCGGTGGTCACTCCAGAGATTCAAATCAGAGTGAGGTCTGTTGCTGGCCGACATCACTTGTCCAAAATCTCCACATGGCATTAACAGCTGATCCCAGGTGACCTGTGCTGAAACCTCTTCCACCCAGCTCTTCACAAGCTCCCATTGCCCCAGAACCACCCTGTGATTGCAGGAGATGTGAAGCAAGACTTACTCCGGCCCTTACATACTGCTGAAACACTAATATGGTAGTGTATATACCATACTAAGTCATCTATAGTATATATAATATACTAATATGATATACTTCATACATCAGCCATGTTGATAATGTGATGAGAGATAAAGATGTTTATGAGTTTGGTTGTGGGCTGAGGATCTTAACTTCATAAATGGTATTTCTTCAAATAATATTTTACTAAAGTTTCATTTCAGAGTGTCTCGTGCACTCAAAGTCTCTTACTGAAAGTCATTGCTGCCTGGATTTTTGTGGGCCACAAGGATAGGTGCTCACTGGAGTCAGGAACCTGGCTCAGTGCTTTATACCTTCATGTATTTCAGTGGGAGCCAGGCTTTTAACCTGCCTAAATATCTCAATCGGTCCTTTGGTTTCCGAGTGTTTAGGTCCCTAAGTATTTTTCAGTGCCAAGCCCTGTAACCATGTTCAGACAACATAATTTCACCTGTGTCCCTGCATCTGGAAATTCATATTTTCCCATTGCACATGTCACTTTGGTTCTGTGAACTGAGCCTCGGAGGCCGCCTGAAAAAACACTCTGACTTGAGCACATTTGGGATTGGATACAGTCCACCCACGCAGAGCCGTAATGCTTGTGTTTCTTTTGAAAGTGGAATTTTTGAAGTGCCTCGTAAGCCCCGAGGTCACGGTGGCAAGCATCGGTCCTGACCTGTGTGTGCTCCCTGATGGCCAAGGAACTGAGAAGTAAAATTGGAATGGAGGCACCTGAAAGGCTCAGAGGGATTTTCTGTTTGTGCCTGGCCATTCCTGATGTGATGCACAGCTGTACGGTAGAAATCTAACAGGGATAAAAGCAGATGTTGAAAAACTAAACACGAATGCTTGAAATGTAAGTGTGCTTCTGATTATTTAAATAAGAGCAAATTAAGAAGGAAGAATAAAGAGGAAAGGCACTTGTCTGGAGTGCAGCAATGCCTGGAGACCTCTGCCACTATCAGAGTGACATTGTGTCGAGCGCACTGCAAAGGATTAGCAAAAGATTGCACCAGAAGGACTCGCGCACCAAAGAAGTAAATCAGTCCAATATGATCAGCTGCATTTTACAGCTGATGCTGAGAAACAGAGAAAGATGAAGTGACTTGTCTGAGAATTGATTGCAGATTTGTCCAGGGCTCTGTGCACATCTCCACCTTTGATAGCGGTGCCACTCTGGGAGAAGAAAGCGTTGGCTACCACCGAGGAGTGGGAGGTCACAAATTGGATGTCGTGTTGTGCTGCCGGTGGGATGGATCCTCGCTTTGCCAGTCGGCAGCCTGCAGCAGGGATGGCAAAGCACGCTGCAGGTGTCTCGGTATCATCCGATTGTGTTCGACCCCTGGCAGGGCTCGCGCAGCGGCAGGTGGCAACAGGGTGATGCTTGGGGTCAAGGATTTGCCAGTTTTAATCTTTGAAATGACAGCAGTTGGGGGGCACTATATGTATAGCAGCCCGAATTGTAAATGCCCACTTGCGAATGTCCTTTGACTCCAAAACAGACACGGCTTTTGTGCTTAAGAATTGCTCTAAGTTTAGATTGAAAGTCCCTTCTTTCTGACGAGGTGGTCACAGGGGGCCACCACCTCTCACATAGCCTGCTAGGGACTAGGTATTGGCATTGCCACGGGAGCTGGAAGCTTTGTAGACCACCTCCAGTAGACCAAAGGTACAAAATAATGTGACAGACTCATTCAAAGTCTTCCCTCAGTTTTGTGCCGCATGGTTATTTTCCTTTTGCACCTTGGGACACAGTGAAGGTCTTTCCTCAAAACCATCACCAGGTCAAGCAGGCAAAGCTGGACGCTTTGCTCGCCTTCTCTGCTTCGTCCACAGGATCCATATGGCCTTCCTGGGATTAAACCCTGGCACCATTTGGAGTCAATGAGCGTTTTGCCAATGATTTTCAAGGCAATGAGGATTTCATCCTTTGCTCATCCTGTGCCGGCTGGGTGAACGATGTTCCATTAGAAACTGCTGTTTATTCTAGTGCAGTCAAGAGGATTTTTGCCAATGATTTGAATGAGCATGGGATAAAGCTTACGGCTAAATCCAGTCCTTACGTAGAAATCCATGAATCCTACCGAATTGCTTTTCTCCCAGTGAAATTAATGGGAGCTGTATGAGAACATCTCAGGGAAGATTTAGTTCCTGTTTGTAGCAATATGTTACCCCCTGATACCGGGCCTGCTTTGAATTGTTTATTGTTAAATCCATGTATTTTTGGTTATATCTCATTAAGAACACAATACAGTCTCGGAAAGTACATTCTGAAAGGGTATTACAACAGGATTGGGATTACTGTTTGTGAGACACTTTTAACTAGGGGGAAATTTCAAATTCAATTTACAGTAATGTCAAAGCACAATTAATATATAGGCAATGATAAGGGGAACATGCAGAAGTACACATTGATAGCACTACATCAACAAATAAACTTTTGGTGCTAGTAATTAGGTACACAAGATTATTATATGTTTAATTGACTAAAGTGACAATTTGGAATTACATCTAGTCACATTTAATTGGATTTGGAATCTCTAGAGGAAAGGAAATGGAATGCAGTGAGGAGAGGCAGCCATAAAAGCAAACTGATTTTCTAAAGTCTGTTAAGACTCTGCATTAATATCCATTGCACAACAGTTTTTTAATATGCCTCAGTCCAGAAAGAGTGATGCAATGATTGTCACAGACAGTGGGAGTACTAAAGCATCCTCAGTTAGGTAGCAAGATAGCTGATTACTTTTAGTTTGGGGTTGGTTTCTTTTAAGACATAGTTTAATCAAAGGTGAATTATGTCTGAGTTTGCCATAGACAAGTGATATTCTCAGACTGCCAAGCTACAGGGTGTTATACATGTTGATGCTGTCCTAGAAGAAATGTACTTACGTGTAAGATATTCCACCCACAAATACTTTAAAGCAAAACAAGAAAAGCCAGACTAAAATATTGTATAGCAGTCATTAAATATTTGCTCAGAGTAAAATATGGAAGAGCTATTAAAAGAAATAGGAGGGTTGTTTGCTTGCAGATAGTTTAGCTAGCTAAAAAATGTTTACTAATGTTTGTCTTAAAGTTGGACAAAGACTGAGAGTTATGTGTAATCTGTTGATACAAACCTGCTGTTACACTCTTTTAATATTACCTTCTTTAAAGATTGCTATATACATCCTTCTCTCCCTGTACACTCATTTATTCTGCTTTTGTCATCAGGAGCGCCATGATTGCTGACTATATGTACTGGCTGACAGGCGGCACTGAGCAGCATACAAGCAAGCTCATCAAACTGTATTGGCAGGTAAAAATTGATAGCCCAATGAGGAAGGAGGTGCCTATCTCACTATTAAGACCAAAATGAAGGATTACTGCTTAAAAGACTGTCGACAAAGGTAGCTCTTGGGCGTATCAATCAACAGGACACTATATAGTACTACCGTATTTATAATGAAGTAGATTTTCTTGGACTAATTTTAAGGGCAAAATTCAAGGTTGTTAACCCTTGGCTCATACTTCAATTTTATGGACTGCTATAAAATTTAATTCTGGATACTGTACAGTCCCCTAAGCTATTTTTTGTGAAGTCTTCCTACCTTAGTGACACTTTCCTTTCGCAATTTGCATTATACTAATCCTCTGACACCTTTCCAAAGTCTTCAACTAGAAGGGGAGGAAAAAAAATGACTGTAACGAATGGTCTCAGAGGAACCTAAAGTGCTCTGTGAAGGATGGCTAGCTAAGACCCTGGTCTACAAAGATTACTTATGTGGGGAGTAGACCATTGACTTCAGTGAGACTCGTCTCTTGAGTGATACTTATTTGAGATGGCTGTTAAGCCACATCAGCACAAATGTAAGTTTAAGGATCCCCCTTTCTGCTCTGAGGAGAGCTCTCACAGAAACTTGGAGGTGAATGGATGCTCAGTCCTTTGCTGGGAGAGGCTTCTTGCTGCAGGAGCTTACCACCGCCCATGGCGTCCCAGCCTTCTCTGTCCCCCGGTTTTGATGTGACCAAAGTGCATTTCAGAGGCAGGGCAGCGCTCGGGCCTTGGCGGTGTAAGACCCTTCTGCCTCCCAGAGTGAACCTGGCCCATGTGTGCTCCTTGTCCATACGAGAAATTTAATGATACTAGGAATAATATATGTCCCTTGCAATAAAATTTCAGAATCTGATTCTGACCCCATTTATTTTGGGTTTATTCTGTGAGAACATCTGTGACAGCTGTATTTTATGTGAAGTGGTGCAAAATGCATCTGACATAAGAGTAACAAAGATCAGAATCTGGTCTTTTACCTTCACTCAAACAGTAAATTCTTCCTTTTTAAAACTATTATTAGTTGCATTCTTCTTGGTAAAATGGAATAAATCTCAGTCCTGGGAGCTGCTGAATTTCAGTACTGCTGTGAGTGCAAAGTGCATCTCATTCAGAGAATTACCCACTGGGCTAGTGTTTGCAGTGCCTGTGAACTTTCTTATACGCTTTCCAGCAGAGAATTTCTTCTGTACAGAACAGTTTGATTTTTTCCCCACTGGGTCAGACTCGTTTAAAATCTTGAGTTCACAAACAGGTTTTATGAAGGGGTCATTTCTTCGAATGGAATGTCTTTTTTTATCTCTTAACCCTGGTATCCATTGACTTCCCTTCTTGATGTCATGGACATGAATCTTCAAAGAATAAACCTTTAAGAGAGGAGCTGTCATAGCTGTCCTCTCCCCCAGGGGTTCAGACTGTCCTGCTATGTAACAGGGCCGAAAAGGTGGCATGAAGGACAAGATTCATCACGGTGCCTCCTTGTAGAGTCTAGACCAGAAGCCGTGGTTGGGCTAAGGTGGGAATGAACCAGATTAGAAGTGGGGCTACTGAATCGCTTCCAGCCATTAGTGCCAGCATACAATGTTAGCATCATCATATAAAATTATTTTGGCTGTGGTAGGACTATGGTTCATCTCTGCTTCAGGCCAGAGCTCACAGCTCATTTCGCTTCCTGAAGGAGAGCTCACGTGTGGGCCTCCCTGGACCCCCGTAGTATCAAGAGGCACCACCGTGCTGTTTGTGCCCCACTCCCACTCCTTCTCCACCTTTCGCCTGAACCTGAGCTGCTGTCATCTTTGTCTGCGGAAGCTTTGAAATGTCAGTAGAGATCTAACCATTTGTTTGATCCCCCACCGTGCTTGATTTTCACTGGGAGACAAAGAGATTGCTCTGCAATTTTGTTCCTTTTGTGCGTATGCCGTCGCGTGGGCTAGGCTAAGGATTCAGCGGTACCTATGTGCTGACACACACGCAGCAGAGGCAGCTGCGTGCCCAGTACCGCTCCCACTCAAGTTAATAGCTAGAACTTAAGAAATGCTGTTTGTGAAGATATATCCCCAGCACCAGTAACAACGTTTTGCTCCCCGGGCTGATGAGTTCTGTGCACTCAGCATCAGGGGTGACTGCAATGTCATTAGAGCACGCAGCAACAATTATGCAGGATGATGTAGCACGTGACACTGCAATGGGACTTTCCACCACAGAGAGACCCAACAGAGGTAACATAATCTTTTTTATTAATATTCTCTCCATTTCACGGTGTAAAGCTGAAAATAACTTGTCACGACTATACATGCTCATGTGCCTTTGTAACCAAAGCAACAGCTATTGATGCACGCTTTTCTTGCTAACTACTCCTCTGCCCCAGAACTCGCTAGCGTTGGCTCACAACCATAAGCAAAATTTTCTGAGGAGGAAGGGAATAGATGGTGAACAGGACGGTTTGTTTTTTACTTTTGCGAAGAAAAATTTTTAGATTAGCTATGTCACTCTTTTCTTTGATCAGTGGGTCATGTATATAATCTTCTGGTGTGTCACTGACTACTTTTGTTTCTTCTTTTCATGATTCTTTTCACTGCTGGAAGAGGATTTTCCTCCTTACAGCCTGTCTTCTACTTCTTTCATAGTTTCAAAACATCGTACAGACCACTTGAGTCCTTCAGCTGATGTCTTTACTGCAAAAAATTCAGGCCCTTAATTCACATCTGCAAAGCTCTTTGTCATTTATCCTACTTCTAAACCACTGTTTTTTCTCTCCTGATCTATTCCTCATGCTCAGAGCAGTCTTTATCTTGTATCTCTTTTGGTTTTTTTCTCCTGATTTTGGTTTTATACTTTCCTTTGAACCTCTTCTATCCCTGACATCAACTGCCAGGAGTCCTCTTTCTTCAAAACTCTTCTGAAAGCATCCTCACATTGCTCCCCTCCTCATTATTAACTTTTACATGTTTCTTCTTCTTCAGCAGTAATCTGTTCCATGTGACCATTTACCTCCTCTTAAACAGACTGCAAGGTTTGTACTGTCAGATTTTTAAGACCAGGTGGGCTCATATTGACAAAGTATCTTAATTCTTGCATAAAAACACCAAAGAATTGCACCCTTACCTTCCTGCATGGTGCCAAAAGAGGAAAGCAGAGACTGGTTTTGAGAAAGTTACCCAATCCCCATTTAAACAGTTTAATAATACAATATTTACCATAACCCAGATAGATGATTTGCTGCATGATTGTCCCCCGTTTCTCTCCCAGTTTCTGAACTGGGATCTTACTTGTCCAGTCCAAAATTCCAGCAATTTATATTATGCATTCATCTCTGAAAGCTTAAAGATCCTTTAGTACTTGTTACCTTCTCCCTGTATACGTACCTATGGATCACGATCAAGCGAACTTTAAATATTCTTTTTGATTAACTTTTTGATTAGCTTTCTTTGATTATCCCCTTTAAAGTAAATGATCTATTTCTGGATCTTCTGTACACTATTATGTAGTATCTAATGCCCTGAGTTTGTTTTGAATATTAATACCCGCCTTCCATTCCACTCTGAGATAAAGGTATAATACTGATGAGAGGTGAAAAAGTAATTTGCAATGGATAATATTATTCAGTAAGTTGGACCTTATTCTCTGTTCGAATATTTTATTCCATGGATTGAAAATGCACATTCAAAGTTAACATATAATCAAATGGATGGGCTTTTTTCGCAACCTACTACAGAATATGCACTGGATGATTTGTGTATTCACTATTATATTAAAAATAGGCGAGTTAAATAGGAGTTCATCGCAATAAATAATAATGTGAAAGTCACTAAATGTATTATGGTAGATATCTTCAGAGTGGCAGCAGCAAGACAAAGCTTGCTTATTACTATAGTCAGGTAAGGTCCCTCGCATTTATCATCAGCAATGCAATTCCTCAGCTGGTAATAGCAAAACAAACAATAGACTTTAGATATTTCTTACCATAGAAAAAGTCCCTCTCCAAACTGTCCAGTTTTACTCACATCTTTGGAAACTATTTCCACTGGCTAAAAAACATGCAGTATAAGCTGGATGTTTCATCCCATGGGTAGAAATGTATATCGTGTCCATACTACAATGTCAAAAATGCCAAATGTTGTCAGATATGAACTTGAAAGACACAGCCTTATTTCACCAATATCTGGCAAAGACATCTTAGTATAAAGCGCCTTTGTTACCTGTTTTATAAACACCTCAGGGTTAATTCATTAGCACACTACAAAATTAATTGTTTTTATTATTCCATTGTGAAACTCATGTGGCCTATTTTGTACTGAAGGTTCGGCTCTAGCATCCATTATGCATTTGTATCCAGTCATTCCCATCTGGCCAAAGTCTTACACTAAGTGTCATTGCAGCAGCAATGCATACGTTGCAGAAACTAATAGAACTCCAGAACGGCATTTTAAAGCTTGTAGGTTCACATCTGTACGCTTCCATAACCATCTGTACTAAAAGCGTTATTTCCAAAAAGCAGCCAATGTGTGTTTGCTACAACTCAAATGGAGATCTTTAATTTGCGTTGGAGTAAACTGAGCTTTTCGCTTTAGTTCCAGTTCAACCCCGGTGTTTTGGCTAAGATTGCAGCCATCACAGAGCTGCTCTTAGCACACTGAAAAGACTGGCTTTGTGGCTGCCGCACACGGAGCTCACAAACTTGTGTTTCTGAGAACATTTCTGTCAGCTAAACTCCACATCCCAGAGAAAGCTTCCAGCAGTACATGCATTGGCTGACATGGAGGTTTGGGTATTCAGACATTTGTTTTGCACTCTCGGTGCTGTTATGAACATCAGGTACTTACTTTTCAAAAATCTGGGCTGTTGCAAGCACAGAGCAACACACAGATCACACAATAAAGCAAATGATAACCCAGCCCTGCAAGGTGGCTGAACACCTACAGCGCAGGGATGAACGCTGTCAACTCCTTTAGAGCTCAGCTTTGTCTCACACCTTGCAGGGTGATGAT